AAATTAATCATTTCAGCTTTCAATACATTTTACTTATGAAGCTTTATTCTCGATGCTCATAGAAACAACAAACTAGATAAGTAAAACAAACATAATAGAAATAATAAGCATATATGTATATAATTAATTAAAAACCTATTAGATTTATTGATGAAGCTTAAATGCACATGACTCTACTATTTAATCTTCTGATTTTGTAGTGTAATAGTCTTTTTTATGTGTTTTATAGAAATGTGCTGTTTTAGTTAAATTCATTTTTTATGTAGTTTTTTTTAGTAAAAAGTCTGCAGAAAGTTTTTGGCTAATAATTCAATTGAAGACCTTTTCCATTGTATCTAGCATAACAGTATAGTCAGATTGTGTAGCTTAGCATAAACACTAAAAACAAGTAGAGCTTCCTATATTATTATTCCATATTTTGTCTCATTTGGAAATGTAGCTTTAATATGGGATTAATTATTTCTTGGCTGAGTGCAGTGACTTCCTGGTCCTGACAAAGCCAGGCTAGCTGTTAGCTTTATAAGCTAAGCTACCCTGCTGCTAGTTTAATATTTACTGTACAGACATAGTCAGATATCGATCTTCTCATCTAACTCTCGGCAAGAAAGATAAATAACGTATTTCCCAAAATGTGAAACTGTTGCCTTAGAGTTGAGACGTGACCAAATTGATTATCAACTTTGTCCTCCTCAAACTTCTGTCATAGTTTTTTTTTTATAGCCTCTATGAATTAGGCAAGGGAGATCAGATCCTCTTTACTGGAAATCATTTTAGTAAAATTAATGTCTGGCAATCTTTCCGAAAGATGTTCCAAAATCAAAACGCCTAGAAAATGGATATCAAATGTTGTTTCGAGGCCTAAAATATACATCTGTGTGTACATTGACTGAGCTAACAGCATAATGGCTGGCATAAAATATGTGTTTGCCACAGCTAGAAACATTTTGTGGTTATAAGATGGCTGTTTGACACTGATGGTTTATGGCCCAGCAATATTTGTATTTCTCAAAAGACATTTTTACATGTCAGTTTGACATAAAATATAGTACGGTCATTTGTTGGAAAATCTAATTATGTTGTTTGTGGGTGATGGTGCCTGTGTTTTTTGTCCTCTGTAATAGTTTCTGTGTGTCAGTATGTGCATTTTCTACTCAGAACAGCTCATCTCTGGCTGCATTCTCTCAGAATAAGCCAGATTTGATTGTGGTTTCATGGTTTACTGCTAATTGTCCCTGCTGAAGTCATGTTTTTCCTTGCACTTGGCTGTTTTTGGGGAGTTTTTAGCCTTCATAGCCACTCAGAGTCTGCCTTATAGTTTACTCTCTACACAGAAACTCTGTGGTTTAAAACACAGAGATTGTATTCAAGTTTGTCCTCTTGATTTTGTTCCTACTATCACACACTAATGTCTCCATAGATACATCCACAACCTGAACAAAACCATAAACTTTCTTCTGTTGTGCAAGTCAGCAGTGACTAAGATTAGATTATGTATAGATTTCAGAATAAAAGAGAAAGAATAGCAAATAAGCAAAGCTCATATCCACAAAAGAACCTCATAAGATAACAAACCCAACAAATCCAAGAGAAAGCCTGTAGCACTTGAATATTCGCCTGTTTTCCAGCTGACTCACATTGCTCTGAATTGAACCCACACACGGGAAGTTTGGAAACAGAAAGATGACTAAATAGTGGGGAAGAGGAAAAAAATCAATTTTTTACTTTCTATTTACTGACAGGAGAAAAGTGCAGCGGGAAGGAGCAGACATTTCAGTTCATGCGGCCTGTTCTCGGTCCAAAAGATCAAAGTGTGTTTATTATCAGACAAACAGTTTTTTTTTGTCTTAGACAAGTCTTCACACTCTCACTGGGGTGAACATCATCATCATGCAATCCATCTGATACGCTAGCATTAAAGACTAATTAACCACATGATTAAACAAAATAAAGGACATCATTATGTGATGTGGGGTGGAGCATTTATACCTTCTGGTTACAGTTTGGAGTCACTTAAAAAGACGGCTGTCAAACAGCTCAGTGCAAGAGAGGAAACTTCTGGACAAATTATACGCACAGCATTAAAAATCACAGGCCAGGAGCTTCCATCCCTTCCTGAGATCTATACCATTAGACTCACAGTATTCTTCAAGACTCCTCCCCAACCACAATCTTTTTTAACTTTCTTCCTTCTTTTCAAAGACTGAAAAGTGTCTGAACCAGGACAGCAGGTTCTGCAACAGCACCAACTGTACCCGGCGCCCCTTAACGCTTGAATCATCACTGTGCTGCAATTATTCCTGTCTGTGACACACTGTAAGGGTATGTATACCATGGTACACACCATAGCTAGTTGTGCTGCTGATAGCTTCCCCATGGCAGTTGTTTCAATTATTATTACTATTACTTAATACTTATACTTGCTCCTTAAGCTGAATTTAATTAAACAACCCTGAACTGCCAATTAAACAAAATGAAAATTAAATAACCATGTATCTTTAAATTACTTTATATGTCCTAAAGTACTCGTTCACTAGTTCCTTTTGTTCTTGTTCTGAATGAGCTCACCAAACCAAACTCCCATCATCTGTGTTGAAATCTTGGAAATTTAATTGACGCTGTTTCAATTTCATGGAAAATATTAACATTTCCTTTTTGAACTTTTAATATTTATCTAATTTCTTCCATGTTCCTTTGTAAACTTATCTGGCTGAAATAATAAAACCTGGCAATATGCTTGTACTCCTTTGTAGTTAAGCGTGGTTGAAAATTCCCCATTGTGCACACAATGCTTTGCCATAAAAATACAATGCAGACCGGGTTTTGTCTAAGTGTGGAGGTAATAGGGAGGTTTTTTTTGTCATATTTCTTTTATTATTGATAACAGAGACATATAGACAGTAAATATGGGTCGCAAGAGAGAAAAGAGGGAGACATGCAACAACCCGATTCAGATGAGGTTGAGGAATGTTGTTATTACGTATGACGTACACATACACCCATACTGGAAATAATAATGCTAATTATGGTGCTGCTGGATACAACCAATGTAATTTGAAACAGAGAGGAA